TCTGTCGACTTATATTAACCCTTGCAGTTTGTAACACTGTGGAGGTCCAATCTCGTTTTGAATATATCGAAAGAAAATGCTGATATTACGTGTTCCAGTAGAGAATTCCAGTAATTCACTACTCGATGCGAGAAACGAAACTTCAGACGTAAACGACTTGATCTCGGTTTTTTGAACTTTCTTCGTATATCCTCTCAAATGATCCGTCCTAGACGGAAGTAAAAGATAGGGCATGTTAATGCCAAGATCATCGTTCAGTATACGATAAGCCAATAATAGATCACCCCGTATTCCACGGTAAGATAACGAAATAAATTAAGGTGTCTCAATCGGTCTTCATGAGATAGACGAGCTAGACCTTTCGCCATCTTAGTCCCTTGTCGTTGTACTCTTTCCAGCATATCTGCCTCATACTTGAAACAAGGACCCACTGCTTGAATCCCATATCCCAAATGTGGTGGCACGAAAATCGGGTATAATAATCTAAACAATTCGTCATCTACATACTGGAAAGACCTGTAGTGGCATTGGACGCTAGCCACGCAATCCTTAGAGCTGAGCACGGGACAGCTGGGAAAATGGATGGTCAATATTTAACGCGGAGAAAAACTCAACGGTGGAGAAGGCGGGAAGAATGAATGGGGTTAATTCGAATTGATCGGACGACATGGCTCGGCGTGGTCACCCTTAAGTGTTGTAACATAATCTTTTAGTCACATTAAATATGTTGTTTATCTCCAGTCTTAATGTGTTCCTCATCACGTATTGATGATTGTTACGATGTGGTGACTTGGTGTTGACAATGATGTGACTTCCACGTAAGATCTTATGGATTAGGCGGTTATATCGTGACAAATCTACGATATTAGGGTTAGGTCTATTATTAGAGCAGTGCCAATATCATAATAAACCATGATTCTACAGACCTACGAATAGACCATAACACCCTATAGCCTTTCGCAGCAGCAGCAGCCTTACAGTGACTGGTGGTTTTGTGATCACTGCTTAATATGACTCCTAAATCTTTATAGTTTCTTACCTTGGGTAGCATGAATCCACATATTATGTAATGGTACGAATCATCAGTTATTTAGTTGCATCGCCACCTTCTTGTTAGGATTTACTTCTAGTGACCACCTGTCCATCCATGCCACCAATGAGCTAAGATCACCCTGTAATACTATCCATCCCACATACTGTGTATGAATCTCCAAATTTTTATGTTATCGCTTCCAAGACCTGACTGCTCGAAAACCCACTAACCGGAGATTTTCCTCGCCGTTTTGTCCACGGGTTTCTAGTTCAGCTAGTGTCTTCTTCTTCTTTATATTGCATAACATATATTTATATTATACGATATTATGGTGAACCCAAATAAGTGTTCATTTTGTGAATATGGTTTTGAATGTCTTGCATACCTAGTTGATAGTAACGGTTTTAGACCAGATATCAAGCAACCAGCTCCATTGACAAATGCACCATCTCTGAAAAATCTTGCGGAACTATGTTCACTAATGGGCGCTCTTCATTACTATTCCCGTTTCATTGCTAATTTTTATTGTCATGCCGACTGTTTATTTAATATTTTGACATCCAACTTACTTAAATAAGGTGAGAAACAAGAGACATGCCTACGAAGTTTACCAGAGTTTCTTCAGAGTGGTGGCGTCCAATAAAGGGCGGCCTGCTTGAGCATCTGGGCTACTCGTTCCTGCCATCTAGATATTTCAACAAGTTATCTAGTTTTGTTTGTTTTAATATATCATTATGTTTATTAATCGCATAACCTATTCTGCTGCGTTTCTGAAAAGTGTACAACCTTTCGTTGTCAAGGTTACAAGAAGCTCAATAAGAGACAATGTGGTTGCTGGCAATATACAACGAAAAGAATGCACATTATTCAGATGTTCATTTACTGAACTGCTAACATCTAACTGGCTATCACTCAATATTTATCTCCAGGACCAACCAAGAAGAAAGAAACGGAAACTTGTTGAAATACTTTACGCTGAGAATTTTATATTGTACCAAAAATATAATATTGAAATATATATATATATATCCCTGATGATATTTTGTGTTTAAATGATCGTGTTGTTATTCCTCCTTCTTTGCGTAGATCTGTCCTTGAATGTGTTCATAGTGGACATTTAGGTGTTGAGAAATTGAAGTCATTGGCAAGGCTAACATGTTGATGACCCGAAATGATTACATGAATCTGTCTAGCAACAAACAAATGTGGAAGGTTTCCTAACTCTAGAAATCATACTTCGATTTGGACTCTATGGCAAAGAATTCACAGAGACTATTGTAGTCCATTTTGTGACAAATACTATGCACTTGCTGTCGTTGTTTGTTTCTCAGTCGACTTACAATTTTTCGCAATTTCAATGAATTGTGACTTTACCTTCCCAGTATTAAGGAAAGTTTTCAGTCGGGAGGAGTCCCTATGGTGTTAGTTACTAATGACTACAGATACAGTCACTACCTGGTTGAATGGGATAGGATGTAGACATCTGTTCACAAGTTCTTGACAGTCTCCTACTAGTGGTCAGGCAGAGAATTTCATTTGAACGTTGAAAACTTTTATTGATTCCACTACTGCTTCAACATTGGATGAGGTGCAGATGGGAGTAGGCTTATGTCTACTGCAATATAGAAGCGCTAAACATTCTATAACGAAAGAGACCTCATCAAAGTTATGAAAAGGAAGGATTATTCGTTCGAATATGAGGAGTTTAGAATCTGTAGATGTTACATACAGCCACGGGGATCGTTGTGAAGAATGTCAGGAAATCTATGGTGGAAATTCTGGATGTCGGTTATTTAAACACACACAACTGATGTACTGATCATATGCAATTCCATGAACCGGGTGAGTCTGTTTTTCAACCGTCAACAAGGCATAAAGCAAGGGGTCAGACCATCTCGTACGTGTTACCGAATTACCTCATTCCCAATAAAATGAAAAGATTAGATAAAATGAGGCGCTGGCATCGGGAAAACAATCCGTTCAATCATATGCAGGAGCAGTTAAATGCTGAACTATTTGGTATGTCATTAAATGGATATCATATGAAGTGTACTGTGATACGATCGCGATGCTTGACCGTATTTCCTTAATTATTAGTGCTCAATAAGTTTGACATGGTCATTATCACTTACAAATCCCTATAAAACCACCTGCTTTTCTGATATGTTGACCGTTATAGATAGGGACTACAATAATCTAGGCGCTCTCCATTCCGTCATGATTGGATTTAACGATCTTACGAAGGGTGTGTTAGATTTATTTACTTGGCTATACTTGATGGCTATATATAATCAAGTATATTCAAAGGTAAAGGTAACTTTTGATGCGCTTCGCTGGGAAGTCCCATGCTAAAACGAAACGGCCATCCATTGCTTCCAGGTTTTCAATGGTAGTCTAGCCTGGATCGAATCGTGAGTCCAACTGCTGAAATATTACGTCCTCCACAAATTCCCATCCAAAAACCACTACATGTGATGTGTAAATATCAATAAACAGGACACTGACGAATGGCCTTATGATTACTGATAACATCATCTGAAACGTAGTTTTTTAATGCTGTAAGTTACGCCCTTATTTCTATTTGGAAGGAGCCAAAGTAGTGGTTGTAGTGGGTATTTATTCATATCGAGGGACAGAACAGTTGGTGAGCTTTCACCGTTCAGTGTGAGATTCTAAGAAATATAATGCCCAATAAAAATAAGGAAGTAAATAAACACTTGAGCTGTATTGTTTTGATGTTACCGGGATGCCTTGGATCAACTATTACCCATCCAACTTAAGTTGTTACTTGAACTTCCTCCAATAACCGACTTCCATAGGAATGTTGGTTCGACTGATTTGTTAAACTGACATATTAATTTGGATTCCTCGTCATAATGGCGCATTACTAACTCTCAGCGTTTGACTTCCATTATTTTACAACCAATGACGTCCACTGCTTAATCAGTCGTCACAGATAGTTTATAGATTTCACATATGTCTTTTACTAGCTCGTTATTTTGTATCGAAATTACCTACATTCTTTCTACGGATTATCGCACATAACCTGTACGTGCCCTCTACATGAAAATCAGAGAGAGCAAGGGAATGTAAGGTGAGAAAATGAAACATGAATGTCCTAGGAAGTGCAGCGAGCAGGCTGCCTAACACCATATTGATTAAATATGATTCTCCCATGATTTGTCCGTCTGTCAAGTGCTTAATTACCTGAGCTGAATACTGGTCCACTCGTGATAACTAGAGTACGAAGTGGATAGCCCTGTGAACTACGAATTAGCATATTAATTCTACCGCTTTTACCTATCGTTCACACTAGAAACATTTGATGCTAGCGCCGTTTGATTATATTGTAATTAGAAGGACTTTAATATTACGAACAAGGCGTAATAGATTGTGCTAGTTTACCCGGATGTTTTGACGGCCCGTTTTGACTTAAATTTAATATATCTACGTTTGCTAATTGAAGAAACATCAGTGCTACTCAGAGCGGATGCATACAGATCACTTGGTTGACAGATGGGTTTAGGCGAGTTGGATGAGAACGGTGTAACCTGGCCTACGCTGAGACTACATCTCATAGTAAACACCAATTATGGGTCACCTTAAACTGGTATTAAGGTAATGGAACTGTATTGTTGACTTTATGGAAGAAATTCATAGGAAATTTAATAATGACAGTACTCAGATGAACGTAATTTAAAATTTAGGATTAGCTCTTGAAGTCAAGATAACAATTTTGAAAACTTTAACTGGAATTGTGTAAACTTTAAATAATATGACCAAATAGTACTAATGTTGGTAAGTTTAGAACCTTGACAAGACAAAAACTCACATTCACAGTAAGTAGAGTGAAGTTGCATTACATTATTATGATAGATTTAAAAGGAACATAAAATATTTATAAATACAGTGAATACATTGGTCAGCAAACACAATCTGAAACGCCAGTTCTATTTATTGGACACTGAATATACACTTTGCCTTGGTAGCGCTCTCTGGAATAATTTATTTACAATGTCAGATTCGTCCGATGTGACCGAAGTGGATGAATCCTGGAAGGTTAACCTTGAGATCGCACTGTTAGGTAATCCGAAATGTTTGTTTGTCAACGCTTTTTCGACAATTTTTGAGACTGGTAGTTAATGAGAGATATCTTGGTAATAAAATACGTCAGCTTTGTATAATCATATATATAATTATGTTTTATTTTAGGCTAGTCTAGTCACTATGAATCCATTGTGGGCTCCAGTTACTTCACAAAGAATATGACGCTTTAGATTCTCGCATCAGTAAGCTCTCTGGGCTCAGCGCTAACGCATCTTAGAGGATTATTTCGTTCCACCAGTTTTTTAAAACCGTAAATAACAGGAAGGAATTGTTCACTAAGGATAAAACTGTATGAGAAATGCAGAGCTTATGTCGTTAAGAACGTAGGCCTGATCCCAAACTAATGGTGCACCTGGGCTCCAGGATCCTGAGGGAACAAATGAACCAATTTTTGGTCACTGGCTACCATATGACTGCATTTCCTGACGCTGCTCCACTGCATCGTGGACCAGACCTTTAGGTAAAAGGATCCAGATGTGGCCCCCTAAGAAAATCACCTGTTTCGGTTTCGACACCCGAGCTGTACCATAGCCCACACACAAACCAAGTGAATTGTGTGATGCATATGTATTTGGTGCTCCTTTGTACCATTATTTATGTGTTCAAATAAATAATAATAAATAACCATCAATTTTATCATAGAGCTACTGCCGGAAATAAAGTTCTCGTCGTCTAGATTTTCGGGAATTGACCTACTTCCAGGAGTTTCGCTTATTGACTTAGAATACGCAGATGACATAGTCCTGTTTGGTGAAAACTTACAAAATGCAGTCTTTCAGTAGCACTGAGCAACAATGTCAGGATGTTTGGGATGTGTTTCTCCCCCTTTAAATGCAAATTTTTGCTTCAGGACTGGCCTGCGCCAACACCTGAACTAAGGATAAGGAGTGAACTAGTCGAACGCGTCAACAACTTCACTTGTGTTGGTAGTGTGATCAGCCCTAATGGGTTCAGAAAGCTCGTTTGTCTTTTGTCAACTTACGTCACTTATGACGACTAGGTATTCGTCTATCAACCAAGGGACGAGTATACTGCTCAGCAGTTCGTTCTGTTTTCCTTCGCGGCTGCAAAACGTGGTCTTTAAGGGTAGAGGATACTTTTTTTCCACATAAACCACTTCTCTCTCATAGTATCATATCCTTATGTTATTACCATTTAAGGTAACTACTATGAATTTGGTGTTGTGATAATGAGGTATAGGAACTTGGACCAATGCGTGTATGTGCCTGATCCTACGTTGTAGCTGACTGATTCTATTTTAAAACATTTGGATTGAATGTTGTTGAAGGTACGGATCACATCCTCAGCTGGTCATTTTAAATACATCTTAGCTACTGTAGTGCTAAAATTACGTAGGACGTCGAGTGGCTTTCGTCACAGGCCAAACTTACTATTCAACTATTGCTAATGCCGTAAGTAAAAGAAGTCTAAATTAAAGTGCTATCATATATCTGTGTATTTACGATCAGTACATCTGTATTCATTCCTCATCGTTTTGACAAATTCTGGGGACCTAGTTAAGAGTAGGATTGGTAAATCACTTTGTTAGATGCTAGATTTTCCGTGAGTGAAAAAAAACAACGTACTTTTTAATACATCCATATTAATTTTTCATTCAGATCAGTTGAAAATAGAAATTATCAGCACGTGTCCACTCACAGTTTCGCTCATTAGATTCCGCTACAGTGAAACTTCCGGTTTTCTTCGACAAAGTCAGTTTCACTCTGTATCAGTTAATTTTCTTGTCTGAATCCTCGGGTACATTGTTCATATTTAGAGTGGGTTTTTTTCAAGATAACAGATAAAGGTTAGATTTTCCAGCTCGACAGCAAGTAGGATGTTAAACGTTGGTATTAGGATGCAAAGGATATAATTGTCTAACATATTTTATCCTTATTAGATTCGCAGACGGTTGAAGTTCTCCAATTAATACCGTAGAAAAATCGTTTTTACATAATGCTGTGAACTTATTATTTATTATTTATTTGAACACACAAATATTGGTACAAGAATGCGCCAAATATATATGCGCAACACAAAACAATGAGAATTTAAGGGGAAGGAAAGAAAAGGAGAGAATAATAACGAAGAGATTGATGTAAGGTGGTGTAATAATAAGAATGGTAAAAATGGGGGAACGTAAAGGTACAGTCAGAAGAAATCTTTCAGTTAAGGAAGACAACCACTTTTTTATGAAGAAAGTCAGTCAGCTACAACGTAGGACCAGGCACATTTATGCATCGATCCAAGTTGCCATACCTCATTAACACAACAAGATGGACACCGGATTCATGAAAGTAGTTAATTCAGAGGTGGTAATATATAAAAGAAAGATTGCATATGAGGATATAGTACAGGGAGAAGGAATTGGTTCGTAGAAATTAAGATATGAGGCGATTTTAATCTCTTAGTTTAAGGGAAGACAGAGAGTGAAAACACCGACGCCATTGTGATCGATCCTGAGACATGTCACCAGGAGTTTGCAATCATTGCTTACGATAGTCACGCGGACCCCAACCAAGTAGTCTGCATCTACCAACATGGCTCAGAACAGACGTTAGTGACTTCAAGCACTGATGCCACGTTTTGGTTTGGCCGCCCCTAACTTTCTTCCAACCATCCCGAACACCGGTCAGCATTGTGCGTTGTGGTAATCTGTGTTCAGGCATACGTAACACGTGGCCTAACCACCTCAGTCGATGAAGGTTCACAACCGCATCAACTGAATTGCCATCACTCCCTAATACTCTGTGTCTAACCTCACTATTACTTACCCGGTGATCCCAGCAGATGCGAGCAATATTTGTAAGACATCTGTGGTCAAATACTAGTAGCTTACGAGTGTCTTCTACTTTCAATGGCGCAGACCAGTCCTGAAGCAGCACCTGGCATTTACAGGGAGAGAAGCGCATTCCAAACATTCTGGCATTGTTGCTTAGTGCTACCAAAAGAATCTGCATTTTATCAGCGTCTTCACCAAACAGGACTATGTCATCCGCGTATTCTAAGTCGGTAAGTGGACCTCCTGGTATGAGATCAATACCCGAGAATTCAGTCGACGAGTGTTATTTCCATCAATGGGTTTATGATGAAGTTAAACAAAAATGGAGAAAGTGGACAGCCTTGACGGACACCACTTGAGGTTGCGAAAGCAGATGACAGTTCGCCATAAGCTCTGACTCGACTAGTAGTGTTCGAGTAAAGAGCCTTCACAAGGTTTATGTACTTCTGAGGTACGCCTTTCAATGACAGACACTGCCACAGAATCTCGCGGTCTACCGAATCAAATGCTGCTTTCAAGTCAAGAAAGACCACCATTGTCGGACGCCGATAAGTATGCCTGTGTTCTAGAACCTGACGAATGGTGAATATGTGGTCGATGCAGCCACGACCAGGTCTGAAGCCAGCTTGATTCCTTCGTGTTTGCAGTTCACGAGTCCTAGTTAAGTGTCCGATAATTATCGAGGCTAGTATTTTAGATACGATATTAGTTAAACTAATCCCTCTATGATTGTCACAGGACGATTTTAACCCTCTCTTATATATTGGGACGATAAGTGATTGTGACCAGTTAGATGGGATAACGTCTAACTCCCAGATCTTATTTAAAATATTAGTCAACCTAATCGCTAAAATTGAACCACCATCCTTAAAGACCTCTGGAGCCAGTCGATCTGGACCAGCTGCCCTTCCTCGCTTCAGATTAACTATAGCCTTTTGAACTTCTGCTAGAGTTGGGGGACCTACTTCAATGTTCCATTCAGGCTGTCTGGGAATGGAGAGTAGTTGTAGAGTAGCTGAAGGCCAGCTGAACTGTTCTCTGAAATGTTCCGCCCATCGTTCTAAACGTCTGGACTGAGAGCAGATGAGGGTGTCGTCTTTTTCCGAAATAGTCTGACTTACACTTGATTTATTAATTCCAGTTTCTTTTATTAGTCTGTAGAGCTGTCTTGTGTTCCCTATAGCCACCGCCTTTTCCATCTCTTTTGCTTTCGTTGTCCACCACTGCTCACGGTCGTTCCTTAGACTTTTGGTTAACCTAGATCTGATTTGTTTTCGCTCTCCATCGTGTTCAGAGCCTGATGGGATGAGTTTACGGGAACCCATCAGTGCAATAGACCTTGAGGAAATCCATTGGTTCTTTGTAACCCTGTGGTTCAAATCAGTGATAGATGTCACTGCTGTTTGTATAGCTTTCCTAGCAACATCTGAGTCAACCTCATTTTCAGAACTACCTAATTGTGACTTCAGTTGTTCCTGGAACCTACTTTTGGTTTTCTCGCTACTCAATTTAGTTCTAATGGGTCTTTGTACTGTGGCTTTTTTGTGTCCAGTAAGGCGCAGGCAGATGCGTGCCCTTATTAGGGTATGGTCGGAGTCCAAGCAGGTACTCCAGAATGAGCGACAATCTTCTACCGACCCTCTCCAACCATGACTGATGGCAATATGGTCTATTTGAGTCCATCTGGGCATTAAAGTCACCTGCTACGAGTACTATGTCTAAACGTTTAGCTTTCTGAAGAAGTTCAGATAGCTTTCTGTAAAATTCATTTTTCACTTCATCTGAGCTGCAGTCAGTAGGAGCGTAGGCAGAAACGACAAAAAGGCAACGACATGTGTCCCTATCCTTCCAAGTTCTTACGGAGCCGTTTAGCCGAACAGCACATAAACGACTGTTAACGGGGATCCACTCTAACAGTGCTTGTTCCGCCCTCATGCTTAGTGCTATCCCTACTCCTGCCAGTCCACGAGAGCTGGCCATCGCGTCACTAGATACACGGAGAGTGTATCTCGTTGGCTCTCCGTGTTGCCGAGGTGAGGTCAAGTGAACTACCACACTGAGATCCTGTATGCGTGTTTCAGAGACACAGCATACATCAATGGCACGAGATTCTAGGGTTCTAGCCAAGGAAGCCTGTTGACCGATTTGACATAGGGTGCGTACATTGAAGGCTCCAATGTGTAGTTTGGAGCGAGGTTTCAGTAGACCTGGAACAGTGTTTTGAGCACTAGAATCGTTGGCTATGGTGACATTTGAGGAGGAAGCCGAAAAAGGAAGTTTAGAGGTGAAAGTCGATGTAGGAGGAGTAATAGGAAGTGAAGACTGAGGTTGATTATGAATACAGTGGTCTTGAGTGCTGTCAGAGGTATGAGGGCGGTTATCACTTCCCGGTTACTCACACCGTGGAGGGGTTCTTCTGGAGGTACCTGGAAAGGAGATTGGATTAGAGGTGGTCTTAGTGACTTGGGAGCATGACCGCAGTGCCCAAGGGACAACTGCTTGAGGTCGGCCACACACGACCTTTTTATGGGTAATTTTTGTGTTAGCTCCATACTTGTTCAGACCTTACCGCCGGAGATGGATATCCGTGAGATAAGGCGAGGTGTGACATTTCTAGGGTCGACCTTTTATAACCACAGCCCTCCTTGTGGGAAGGCAGCATTGCTGTTATGCTGGTTGTCTAAAGGAAACACCTTACTGCTCTCACACCTCTGTACAGTCATCAGTACTACTTCGCCTTCGGACCTTGGGTTTGTTGCTTTTAGTCTTACCGCTCTTCAACCGACCTGTCTGACATGGTAGGACCTTGAGGAACAGTTGTTCCAGCCAGTATAGCTCCATCTTCTCATCACGATAGGCAAGTCCGAGCACCACGTCAAGGTAGCAACAAAGGTCGGGAAATAGGAACAATAACAGGGCGGATCTGCATGCATATAGCATACAATTCTCTTTGAACCTAGCACACAACAGTAGCATCATGCACTGTCCCATCGGCTTTGGCCGATCAGGCAACCCGAAAGTTACGAGAACACCATCAGGGCATACGACAGGCTAGGTACCCCGGTCAAGAAAATAATAACCACTGGAGCTTAGGGTAATAACCACCAGGCCAGGGTACATACAGTCCAGCACGAAGCCAGGTGCATGCATCGTTAAAGAGGTTACAGCAGGATCGCCACTGGCTTCTATTCTGAGCCATATCTGATAACGTCTCTAATCACTGTGTAGCACCATCTCTCGGACCCCAGCCAGGGAGTCGTGAAGGACCAACAGAAGCCAGTCCTTTGCAGCTTTCTTTCATCCCACGACACCGTGTCATACACTGACCACCTCTCCACCTTCTCCAGCCAGTACCAGAGTCGGCAAATAATGCACGACGTGGAATTCTCTGGGACGATATTCGTAGAACATGTTCAAGCCACCGAAGTCGGTGTTTCAAGATGGTGACATCGATTGCATTATCGTCTCCGTGCCCGAACACACGATGCCGAACCTCTGCATTACTAACATGGTGTCGCCACTGGATGTCAGCAATCCTTCGGAGACAACGATGACCGAACACGGAGAGTCGTCTAACGTTCTCAACTCGGAGAGGCCAGGTTTCACAAGCATGGAGCAAAACTGCTCTCACCGACGCGTTGTAGATCCGACCTTTTACAGCCAGATTAACGTCACGAAGGCGCCAAATATGGCCTGGATTGGCATAAGCCGCTCTGTCTTTCACTATACGTGCATTGGTCTCATCACTCACACCACCACCAGCACTTATGCAGCTACCTGGATACATGAACTTCTCGGCCAGTTGAACTGCCCTTCGAAAAATTCTGCCCATCGTCCAAGACGCCGATGGATGTTAATGATTGGCATCCTGTCATCCTCACAGATTGTTTCGCTCACATCAGACTTTTTGCTGCCAGTGGCTCGGATGAGTTGGAAGGGCTTCCGGTAGTTACCAGATGCAGCTGCTGCTTCCAGCTCATTAGCACGCTTCGACCACCAGGCTTCTCGGTTCTTACGCAAGCTTTGCCTGATTTCATTACGTAACAGCCTTCGTTTGTGGTCAAACTCACGGTCATCCGGAGTAGACCGACAGGCTTCGATGAGTTGTAAGGAACCAGAAGAAACCCAGTGCTTATAAGCGGGACATTTCGCGAAACCAATGTTCATCTTTACTTTTTGGTGGAATGGTAGCTAGCCTAGAGGCTAGCTCGGTTCGATAGTTCATTGCAACAGAAGTTGCAACCAACTTGCTAATATCAATCCGTTGATGGCGGTCACTTCGTTGTCCACTGAAAAGTAAGGCAAGATTGGCGCAGACCAAGGCATGATCAGAGCCCAGATAGGTACTCCAAAAGTAGCGGCAGTCTTGTACACAACCACTCCAGCGGTAGCTGATCGCGATGTGATCAATCTGAGTCCAGGCTTCATATGCAGATGGAGGACGCCAGGTGGCACATCGGCGATGACTGTGCCGAAAGTTAGTGCTAGCTAGAAACAGGTTGTGGTCTGTGCACAGTTGCAGTAGACGGTCCCCGTTATCTGTCCTGCGATCAACAAGCCCCCATCGGCCACCTAAACGACTCTCTTCTGTGCCTAGACGCCCGACTTGAGCATTCAAGTCTCCGGTTAGTCCTACAGTATCCGTCGAACTCACTTTCTGGAGAAGAACAGTTAACTGGGGGTAGAATTCATCCTTGATTGCATCTGGGCTGCAATCTGTCGTTGCATACTCGGAGATGACGAAAAGACATCGTTTCTCAAGCCGATTTCTTCTCACTTTGATGGACCTCTCTAATCTAACAGCACATAACCGACTGTTAATGGGGATCCAGTCGATTAGTGCTGCCTCAGCTCTAGTGCTAAGTGCGACACCAACGCCAGCAAGACCAGACGAAGATGTCACAGGGTCCTCCGATAAACGCACGTAAGACTAGCTTTTTGAAGCAACAGATGGTGAGCGAATTTGTAGTACTTCACCAGAGTCTTGAATACGGGTCTCGGCTAGACAACAAACGTCAATATTAAGACTTTCCAAAGACATAGCTAGCCCTATCTCTTGTCCGACCTGCATAAATGTGCGAACGTTGAAGATATCCAGTTTGAATGGTGCACGTGGTTTCAGAAAAACTGTTTCAGTACTCATATTCGGTGGTAAAATACGATTTTCAACTGGACAGTGACTCGCGAACGTTTAGATAGAGTCGAATTTCCTCCCAAGACGAGCTGCTGTATAGGTCGAAATAATAAGTATAGACAGAGTAGGAATAAAAAAGGGTGAATAATGTTGTAGTAAATAATAATAATAATAATAATAATAATAATAATAATAATAATAATAATAATAATAATAATAATAATAATAATAATAATAATAATAATAATAATAATAATAATAATAATCAGGATACTGGAGCCCATGTGCACCATTGGTTTGGAATCCGGTTAAAGCGCCGGACATTCACTTTTCGTCCTTTCATTTTCGTAAACAACACCCCCATCACGAGAATGCACTGAGTAGGACTTCTCTGGCCGATGCTGTATACGCGTGGCCGTGTGAGAGTATTTGGAGAGGGAGGGCGGGCCCACCCCACTCTCGGTCATACCAGGGCATTTGGGGGCTACTACTTTTGTTGATCCAGAAGTAGAAGTTCTGTTAAGGGTTCAAAATAATGTTTTTGTTCGGTAAGTAAGGGTACAGATGTAGTAAATTGGAAAAGCTTGACATCCCTAAGAATACATTACCATAGCAAGAACAACTACTCTTTTTAAAGACTTCTGTTTTGTTTATTCTGGTCTCATCACTGCCTTTTTTTCTCTTTAGAGGATGCTGACATTTTTCGAATTCGGGATATTTGTGCCATGCGTCCTGTCCCTGAAAATCTACGCCCTGACGTTTGGCGCATATGTCTGAGGTTGGACACTCAGTCGCAAGCAATGGCTACATTTAACGATGTTTTCGAATTAGAAAATCAGTCACAACTTCATGAAGATTGTGAGTTGGCTTCTAAGGAGTTATTTAATCGTCTGACCAAACAGCATAGTCTTCAACAGTCGAAAAATATCTCTAATCTGTCAGTGAACAGTGATAATGATGATTCAGATTTAGAAGCGTCATCCCTCAGTATGTTCCTCCCACCAGCTGCAAAGATATCTAGTGATTTGGAATCTGTTTTAACACATTTCGCTCAGACTTATCGTTTGAAATATAGTTCAATCAACGGTTGGGTATCAATACTTAAAGTACTTTTCATTGTCCTGAAACCGACCAATCGGTCGGAACTGTATGCAAGTTTTGTTTCATTCTACCATCGTTTCGTTGCTACGGGAGTAAATATTGATCAATGTGTAAGCATAGTTTTCCGTTTGTTGTTGCAATATCACGAACCAAAGTTGTGCAGCTTTTTGGATTCATTAAAAGTTAGTCCTGAAAGTTATTTCATACCTTGGATGTCAAGTCTTTACGCTGATTTTATATCAGAAGATGTTATACCATCCCTATGGGATTTATATTTCTTGAAGTCGGATCCTTTGCTTGGCTTCTATATTGGATTACTACTTATTGTTAATACCAAGTCCGTTCTTCTTAACCAACAGTTCGATAAAACTGAGGATAATGAAAATGATTCAAATACAAATAATTTACTTTCGTATACTAATGATCAGACTTCTTTCGGTAAGTGTGAATTTTGAATATTATCTATTTTTCCTTCAAATATAAATGAATTGTTTATTTATAATTATCATAAGACCGTCCAACCTCATGTCAAATTAAAGTTTGGCTTAATTTTTCAGGCTCCGGACTTTCTCTTAGTGAGTTGTCAATTTAAAGATCACGTATCTATTGCGGTTTTTCTATTTGATTCATTTCTCAAATAACAAATAAAACTCAGTCTCTTAGATCTGTGTTAAGTATGGATGCTAAGTTGGATTTATTATCTACTAAATAGCTGTTATTGTGACTTTTTCGATCGTAATATAACCAAATAAAGTCAGTCAGTCAGTAACAACGTAGAACTTCGTACGTAGGTACATCAGTTCAAGTTGCCATACTACATTAGTACAGAGATTCAGTTGTCAATTCAAATCTCATAGTGGTAGAGGTTGTAAAAGTATAGGTAGTAATCGGAAAAATTAGGGTTTGAAGATGTTATTCAAGGAGTATAATCCATTGAAATAAATTTGGAAAGAAAAAGAAAAGGGACATGAAGAATTCAGAAGATTAGAATTTGGGAGAACACAAAGAGTGTATGCACCTGCGCCATTGCAAACGATTTTGAGCCATGTCATTCAGGGTCTCTAACCATCGGTTGCTATCATCTCGCGGTCCCCAACCAGGTAGTCTACACCTACCGACATGACTCAGACCACTTGCCAGTGACTTCATGGACTTGTGCCATGTTTTGGTCTGGCCGCCCCTAACTTTCTTCCAACCTCAGTCAGTCAGTCAGCTACAACGTAGGACCAGGCACATATATGCATCGGTCCAAGTTGCCATACCGCATCAGCACAACAAGATGGACACCGGATTCATGAAAGTAGTTAATTCAGAGGTGGTAATATATAAAAGAAAGATTGCAATAAGGATATAGTACAAGAAGAAAGAATTCGTTCGTAGAAAGAAAGATATGAAGCGATTTTAATCTCTTAGTTTAAGGGAAGACAGGGAGTGTATACACCGACGCCATTGTGATCGATTCTGAGCATGTCACCAAGATTCTCCAACCAATGGTTACAATAGTCACGCGGACCCTAACCAAGTAGTTTGCATCTACCAACATGGCTCAGACTAGAAGTTAGTGACTTCAAGGACTGATGCCACGTTTTGGTTTGGCCGCCCCTAACTTTCTTCCAACCATCGCCAACACTAGTCAGCATTGTGCGTTGTGGTAATCTGTGTTCAGGCATACGTAACACGTGGCCCAACCATCTCAGTCGATGAAGGTTCACAACCGCATCAACTGATTTACCATCATTCCCTAATACCCTGCGTCTAACCTCACTATTACTTACCCGGTGATCCCAGCAGATGCCAGCAATATTTCTAAGGCATCTGTGGTCAAATACTAATAGCTTACGAGTGTCTTCTACTCTTAATGGCCATGTTTCGCTGCCGTAAAGTAAGACAGAACGGACTGCCGCGCAGTATACTCATCCTTTTATTGATAGGCTTACTTACTCGGTGGTCCCAGGATATACGAGCAATGTTTCGAAGACACCTATGATCAAATACTAGTAACCTACGAATATCCTCTACTCTTACCGGCCATGTTTCACTGCCATAAAGTAGGACGGAACGAACTGCTGCGCAGTAAACCCGTCCTTTGGTTGACAGACGCATATCTCGCCTACGCCATAAATGACGCAAGTTGGTAAAAGCTAGTCGAGCCTTCTGTATCCGTGCTGAGATTTCGTCACAAACCAGACCACAAGGGCTGATGAGACTCCCAAGATAAGTGAAGCGATCGACACGCTCAATTACTTCACTCGCTATCATTAGTTCGGGTATCAATGCAACCCAATCCTGAAGCAACATCTTGCATTTCGAGGGGGAGAATCGCATGCCGAACATGCCTGCATTGTTGCTTAGAGTGGTCAGAAGACTGCATTTTGTCAGCGTCTTCGCCAAATATACACCAGACTTCATTTGAAAGTTTATCCGGAGAAGTGATTTTGTGGGACTTTGATTATTTTAGTAGCTCACTCTTTTGACTCTTTGATCAAACTAAATACATTCTTGTCTGCTGGGAAACACTTTATAATCCAACTCCTGCTTCGGTTTGGGTACTCGGGCAGTATCACAGCCCTCACACATATCAAATGAGATTTGTGTGGCGCATATGTATTTGGTGCCTCCTTACACCAATATCTATGTGTTAAAATAAATAAATTATAATCCAATTGTTGATTCAGTATTTAATCATCCAACTTGAATTAGTTTTCGGTGTACAGTAGTCATTATTAAATATCATCTATAAACACCCTCTTCACTTTCAATTTAGTCAAGTTCACAGGTTCCTGTTGTCTAGCAGAAGTTATAAGAAATCCATCTGCGAGTAGAAACTATTTTCCCTCGTACTTAATAGTTCCACACCATTTAAATCATGATAGCTCATCTATGGACTAGTGTACAAATTTGTATATATATATATTTATAGTGTTAACTATTAGAAAATCATACAGGGTTATCTAAAACAACCTTTTTCAGTTGTGTTATCAGTATAGTCTTGTGAAGTGCAGTGAAGATCTCATCTGTTATTTTACCATAACTAACCATTTATGTGTTTCCCAAATCATTATATTTACTTCTGGAATAGTATAGTGTTTAATGCAAATCGGTTTAAACTTGAACTTTGTGCCAATTATAGAATTTTAGAGATGTTTTCCACTACTACATGCTGATGTTAAGTGATATCATCAGTATAGAATTTATATATATGAGGGGTTGATGGTACTTTATACTATTGGCTAATTTCCTTTCCTTTCTTGCTTTTAGAAAAGGTTAGGAATTTAATAATTAATCTTCCTAAACCGATGTGTGTTGGTGATTTGACAAGTTTAGTTGATATTATCGAAGTGTTCATCAACAACACGCCGATTTCTTTCCGGTCTCGATACCTTCCTATACTTTTTGGTAACGCTCAAATTGAGTCAGAACGTTCAGTTTTATTCGATGCCTTATGCATGCCAATTACTATCCAAGAAGTCCTCGATGCCCAATCAATGTGCCTACAAGATTATGGTCTTAATAATTCGTCTATTACACTACCAGATAACCCATCTGACTCGACAACTGATCTTCGCTATCTTCTTGTTGATTGTCGTCCTGCAGAGCAATATAATGCTGGTCACTTACCAACTGCTTTTTTCCTGGACTCATCTTTGATTATGTCTGAACCCCTAAAATTTCAAAATGCCGTTAAGGTTAGTTTTACTAAGTGTGATTACTGTTGAATTAAAAAAGTGAGTATTTAACTACATTTAACAATCGCAGTGTAATTATCGTTATATCCTATTTTCACCTCTTATTCTTAGTACTAAGTTTAATTTTGAATGGTTTGTTGTTTGGGCTGTTAATCTATTAGGAATAAGTATTTAAAAAAGTTAACTGAAAATAGATCATAGTGACTAACTGGCATCTAGCTTTTATCTTAAATCTTGAAAATCCTGTTCTGGCTTTATTCATTCTTCCTATTTATATACTTCTTTTCGACATTTGTTTCTTTTTCATTGTGATAGTAAGAATTACAACAGCTCACGTTTTTTTGTTCATTATTTTTAGTACCTCAAACTTCCAGTTAGTCGGATTAAATGATTTAATTATCATGATAATTTTAGAAAGTAATTTCTAATTCTCCATTAAATCTAATTCGAATAGAATAAAACAAATAACTGAGCCAGAATGCCTTTTTATTTCTATGAGTTCTTCTTAGATGCTTATAATTTTAATCCTCCTATCCAGAAGGGAGGATAATAAGACATTACCTAAACATGTTTACTCAAGTTTTAAATCTTCAATTTTATTTGCTCTTAAATTTATCGTTCGAACACAGATCAGACGTTGGGTGCTGGTATTTTTGCAATGTATTTGGCATAAAATTTTTCGTTTAAAGACGGAGGGAAATGATTTCCTTGAAAATATTCCAAATTATACGGCTGTAGGTTCTATGAGATTGTGTTGTTTCAGTTCTATAAGGCGAAAATATTTAGAACTTTCAAGATATGGCCAAAACACTGTTATGGAGCAGAGTTCTATGTCATTTAATTCAGTCATGTAATTTTGTCCTTGTATGTAACTTAAGCTAGGTCTTTTATTGTGTTTAGAATTAGTTTTATAATTCCGTTTCTTCAGTACCATGAAAATGAAGTCGATATTAACTTTTTGTGTGTTAGTAGAGAAAAACTACCAAATGTTTGATGGCCATATCCATTTAAATATGGAACTTTCCGGAGTGTCATGACATTTTGTCCAATAAACGTATTTTATTGTTACAACTAACCGTATAGTCTTCAGTATTCACTTGTCTTTTGACCACTGTACCAGTTATAACAGTTAATTTTAATCTTTAATCTGTGGGTGAAATTTATGGTATTTCAACCAAGCGTTGCTGTAAAAATGCAAATAAATTATGTTACCTCAATCGTCACTCAATTTTCCCTAGTTGTGCATCTACTAAATGTAGTGGTGGTGTCCGATATATTTTATTGCTTTTCCTCATAATGTAACGGCAGAATAGTTAGCTGGTTTGATCCCTTGTCTATAACATTTACTCGAGATGTTAATTTAGCTTCATCCCTCTAGTCCTTGATATAGAGTCACATTAGAAACACAGATAGACATGGTACAATGTGCAAACCTACGTTGTTCGTGGCTTCAATGATCTCTATCAGGAGACATTTATACTTCGTCGAACGCGGCATGTTCTTCCACAGTTTCGAGATGGTCATTCAAAGCTAATGACAGGATGAGTATAACTAGCTGGGTCTACATGAGCTTTGGCTGGAGCGAATGTAATATATTGCTCATTTCGACCCGTCCCACACTTTAACTTATAATTTTAACTCTGAAGTTAAAGTTAGTTAGCCTAAACCTTGATAATTAAACGAAAATATGATGTTTATGTGCGAGATCAGTGCCTGTCCATGTGTGCTATCTAGGTTATTGTATGCTGTCAGAGTGAAGTATACAGTGATAAAAACCTAGTGTCCAAAAATCTTTAATGATATGGTTCAAAGAAGATCACCATGTTAATACATTTACGATTTATTTTTGATTCTTGAATATTTTACTATTTTGTACTTATTATTCCCCATTAAGTTGCAATAATTTGCTAGTTAATTGCTTTCTCTTAAAATTACTCTCAATGATCTTTTTATATCGGTAAGAAATGCGACAATTTGAATTAAATTATTTCGTGAAATTCTTCGTTAATTGTGTTTTGTTGTCGGATTTTAAAGCACTTATAAGATAGAGAGAACGTTCGAATTTTAGCCGTATTGAATCCATTACTGAAATGTCGGTTTACACTACGTTATTATGGAAATATTGAGATTAGGGTAAATTCGATTGGACTTCTTCAAACTATCAAAACATTTTCGATAGTTACAGAAACACTGTACAAAGCTAAAGGGAAGTTTACCACAAAAAAACTTTCTTATTTTCATAAAACATTTAAATCTACTTGTTGGTTGAATATCAGAAACGTTATTGGATGCAACTAACAGGCTATAGTCAGTTATGTAAATGATGGAAACCAACTTAAGTTGTTCGGAGTCATGTTGACTAGCTCCAATTGTTTTTAAAGTAAACCGTGAAAATTCTGTAATTCTACTTTTTGGAAAAAAGAACGTATTAAATCGCAAACAACATTCCCCGGAATTAACATGAATTTTTATTTTTGTTTGTAATAAATGGTAATGCTGATTACCAAAGTGTTAAATAAATCAAAAATAAGTTTATATTCTTTCTTCATGAATTGATTATACTGATAGAACCCTAGCATTGACTGTTATCACACTGCATATTTTTACATTTTTTAAACAGTTTTTATTATCAACTCAAGAACGGTCACTTGCTGCTGGTTCATATGCTGTTGGAAAGCATATCACATTTTTAAGTACTGGGAGAAAAGACGAAGATCAACTAGCTAATATGGTTGTAGCTGAGTTTCTCCGACAAAACACACCATATGTCAGTTTGATTGAAGGTGGTTATACAGCTTTACATGAAGTCTTAGGTACTTATGAAGTTGGTAGGAGTTTAATTGGTCATGAACCTACAATATGTTTAGGATGTATTGGAGGAAAAAACTTTGTACCTTTATCAACTTCTGATAGTAAAATGGAGTCATCATGTTTAATAAATGAAAAAGCAAAAGTACAACCAGTTAACTCTTCGAGTGTTGGAATATTCTCTAAATTCTCAAATGCAATATTTAATACTGGCCGTAGTTTGGATCAAGTACCAAAACTTTTGAAACTTTCAAGTGTAAGTTCAGTGCCAACAACAACAATCAAAACTGATACAACCCCTACATACCAACCTGTTCAGAATAAAGAAACAAAAAAACCCGTTGCTTACAGAAATACATCATCTGTATTCAGTATTGATGATGACTATGACGAAGATGATCTATGTGATGATGAAGCTGAGACTATTACAAACAGTCCCAATCATACAGAGAAAGAAGCAAGAAATGCGACGTTATCTGAACAGTCAACTTGGTTAAAACGTTTTGTTAAAGCATCTACACATGTTGCACCTGACATGGATGGGGATTTCCCCCCTCGAATTGATGGTATGGACAGCTGTGAAGTTGGCGATTTAATTGATACTACCCGGTGGTCTAGACGGCCAGAAGTAAGAGGTGTATTTAGTACCCGATTTATAAGGCCTAATGGACAATTAGGCGATAGTGGTTTACTTGTTTTAGCAGAACGTCATTTAATTTTGTTGCGTCATCCAACTCCTCGACTTCCTAACCAACTCATCAACTCTCTTAGTTCTACTTTACAGTCTGTTTTTAATAAAAAGAATCCAAAATCATCTGAATATTCGGCTATTCAAAAACCAACTACAGATCTCCCGAAATATGCTGTTGTTTATCGATCAATTCCCTTATCTATGGTAGTGAAAATCACGTCAAATCGTCGTTTCCCGGAATGTATTACATTTCACTATTGTCCACATGACGAAGGCGATATGCTAAAACTAAACGATCAGTCATTATTTAATATGAAAGATCGATTATATATTAATAAAGCAGGCGAAGCAGTGAAGATGGTAAAAACTGCCATCTTTACTACTGTTGCATCATTGGAAACGTAGTATTACTCATATTACGGTCTTGTTTTATTATTTTCTTTGTACACTATGTGATTTGCACTGATGATTTTATTTATATTTATTTTTTCTTATGTCATCTGTCAATCAGGAAAGTTCGATTTTGAAAGTAAATTAAAGTTTTTGTTTTTCGTACATTTCTTCTAATTTGAACAATAACTTTTTGTTTTGATTACATAAAACTGTGATGTTTAGGTGAAAAATAGTATCTAGATAAAATTTTTAGCACTATTCTTTCAATCACCAATGCACTTTCTCGTCATATCACTGTTATTATAGTTAACCTTATTCACTCTCTTACCTTCAAGGTTAAAGTCTCATTTTGTTCATATTGAAGTGTTTTTATTTGGGATTATCAAAGGAGCTGTGCATTAATTTTTTTCGTTTAATTTAACTAATTTTTACAAAACAGATTGTCAACCAGATGAATCTTCTCTCTCTCTCTCTCTCTCTCTCTCTATATATATATATATATATATATATATATATATATATATATATTATCATGTTCTGAATTCCTGAACATATGTGGTGAGCCTGTCAGTGCTGCAAAAGTCACACCATAGAGATAAACTGGGGGAGTTTCAATGCAATCATCCGTCTAAATCAAAAAAGGAAGGAAAAATTGAAGCGAGTATATGGGTGATGGTGCCTGTTCTAGGGGAAGTTTCGATAATTTGCCAGTCCACCAAATATTTTCATCGACAGGTTCACTTAATATCAGTCAAAAGTGCGCCAGAGATCTCAGGCACTCAACTGTTAGCAAACTCTTCTGCGGTTTTAAAGATACTAAAAATGCACTCATCAGAAAAACTTGTATTGGATCAATCGTTCTCACTTTGGGATTCTCAATAGCTTCCGTAGCATCAATAAGCTGATTCGCTAGTGTGCACACTCTTTAGAAACACTAAATCAGTTAAAAGTGACGAGAGTGAATATTGGAGATGATGACGAACAATGTTTAACAAAAATGATATCATTTGCAATGCAACTTCACGGTTTCCTATCTAACTTCTAATGAAGGGCGCTAATTTCGCACTAAAGAAACTTAGTTTTATGTCTTAGTTGTGTTATGTCCAAGTTGAGTAATCTTCATTACTATACGAATTTAAGTTGTTTGCAAGATGCGTTAGACTTCATCTGACGAAAGGTAGTGTGAAATCGAATACTAGACAACTGTCTTCATGTTCGCCTAGTTCAAATATGTCACATTTGTGCGAGCATATCAAATTTCGTCGGCTAACTCGTTATATCGTATGCACTACGCTTCAAGTCTGCTTGATATGTATGAAGTGTTGCTAGAAATAATGTTCCAGTCGTATATGAAGTATTGTATATTACATTTATATTTTAGGTAAGGGAAAGAGACAAAAAAGGCAAAGTTGTTCAACAAATTTCAGAAATATATAAAAACAAATAATTCCACAGATAAGATTTAATCAAAAGACAAATGCCCCATTTCCATTTGACGATTCCATCATCTTAGTAAATGGTTTCTGACTATCTTCACGAACTCGTAAATGTGTTCTAAGTAGGATGTGCTCCAAAACACCAGTTCTGATGTCCATCGTAGTAATCTCTGACTTAAGACGCTGAATAGCTTGTTTAATACGCACTACAGACGAACTGTCTGTCATACTCAAGCCTTTTTCGTCCATCTCTGTTTTGACACGTTCCAGTTCTTCACTGATTTCAGATAAAGTACGACTTCGAGTAGTGATTCCGCCACTTGCTTCTCGATACTTGGCATTTATATCATTTAAGTTATCCTATAATAAAAATACAAGTATAAAAAGATCATACATGTAGCTGTATTAATAGTTTGTGAAATACTGTCTTTGAGTATACACATAAAACACTTGTTTGTAGTACTCACGAAATAAGTTATCTTTAGAATAGTACTTTTCACAATATTAATTGTATGCATATTCCAAGTATTCATTATTAGCCAACAGTATTTACATCTCCCTTTTTAGAACACAGTAATTTTTGTCATGATTTTCATGAGCTTCTAATGATATCACTATTTTGACGTTTCTAATTGGTATCGTATTGTAGTAAACTCATTACGTTTTTTAATTCCTATATGCTGTAATTTAGACAATAAGTTCACTGTAAAATTATGTTTGGGTCTGATTGAAAGCATGTCTACACCTCAATCTTTATCTATCCTCGTTGGTTGTAAACACAGATAACCGATATCTTTACCTACATATTGATTAGCACAAAATACATAGACATGCTCCGACTTCTCACTTACTTCCCAGTGTGCTTGCCGCTTTCGTGTTTGTAGATTTTACTAATTAATAACAATACACTCACAACAACTGGTGTTTTGGCTTTTGAATATTCTTGAGTAAATTAATAGTGCTGTCAAAATAACTGGTCTGCTAAAATACACAGTTAACAGGATGTATTTCGAAGTCAAATTGGGAGAAATCGACCTCTACAGTATACTATACATTTGAGTTAAAAGTTTACTTACAGGAAATTTCGATTAGCGTACACCTCATACTCACATTCTTCGAAATAATTTATAACACTGAAGTTCCGGCATAATAACTGACAGAAACGTTGGGATTATGAGTATTTCAAAGCTAAGACTTTGTTTTCCATTGTATCAATATTTAAAGCGTAAGAAATACGTTGCGATAGGTCTTAGCGACCTTCAGTCAATGGACAAGGCAATTACTGAGTCTTAGCAGTAACAGTTACAGCAAATCGATCGTAAAGGGTTTTCTCATGCATTCAAGTCACGAAAGTTAGTATGTAAACTATCTTATAAGGTTCAATTACGTAATGCGCTACGATGGATAATTTTAATAAATTACCTCAACGAGAAATGTAGGTTGAGAATGGGACTAAACTTTTGTATCTTCAGTTTTCTTTTAATCCAACATATTCCTAATACTGCTGAGATAAGTGCTTCATATTCTTGAAATTTTTATTGTGAAATTTTAAGATTTATAAAATTCTAACGAGAATTACTCTCAGTTTGTTCACTTATCAACCAGACTTCTACTCAGATAATTGGAATGGTGGCTTAGTCTTTTTGTCACCCTACTTTCAACTACTGACTCGCTATTTCAAATTAACGTATGTTTTTGCATATGAATAAACCTGTATATGTGTATTGAGTTACGTTAGTTATATTACAGGTATTGGAATCGTATGCACTAAACTCCAGCATATATACGTCGAAGTTTGCATTGGTTTACTATTAGTTTGTGACCAGTTAGCGGAAAAATATCTTTCCGAAATGTAAATTACAGGATTCAGTACGTATTTTCATAGTCAGCCGTTGTAAGTGACAAGGTTCCAGGACTGGTTAAAAAAATCAACTGATTGTTTGACTAGGAGGTCTGTTCTCTGTTCCGGTTGAACAACTCAAGGCAATATGAAAAGATCTTGGGAGCCTACCTGTACAGTTCTATATTGCGCCAACAGAGGCTCCACTTGATTATTCATATACTTCTCTCGGTTATTTATTTTATCGACATCTGAATTCAGATCATCGTGTAATCTGATTAATTGGGATTTAGCATCCTGAAAGGTAGTTTCGATTTCCATTATCAGCTGCTTCATTTGATCCAGATGAGTTCTCCAGTCTTTGACATCACTGTGAACATTGACACGTAGTTGTGGTAATATTCGTTCAACTTCAAGTTTCCAATCTGCTGGGTCTGTAGAGCATTCTAAGACTGCACGATTATTCGGTCTTTTCTCATCTATTTTGCCTGCAGGTTTAAGTTCTGTCTGTTTTTCGGTCAAATCTGTTTTATGACTTTGGTTAGGTTTTAGATTAATTCCTATAATTAATAATGAATAGTCTTTTAAAGATAACAGATACAATCAACTGATGAGTTGTTACATAACGGAATCTGATTTACCCAGTCTTTATTGTGATCTCAGTACGTGAACTTTATTTGGAGTCCAGTGACATATCTGTCAGGAGATGGTTTACTCCATAGTTCACAGGTTTTAAAAAATATGATTCCATATGAGTACAGTTTTAACATTTTCACTGACAAATTAACTTGTACATAACTATACACCATCACGATTATAATTTTAGTCACAAGTCGATTAATTTTATCCTGAGATCGTCAAGATAAATCTTTGAGAAACGCCTACATAGAAATGTTTATAAATCAAAAATCATGTGGCCTGAATAGTTTATTTCTTATTTTATTGATTTGGATTTCGTATATTATCACTGAAAAGTTAATTCATGTTAATGAAGAAAAGGATGGATATACGATTTGTAAAAAAATGTGGTGTAGTCAATGCATGCTTTTGTTTAGGAAAAATGAAAGTTAGGAAAGTTCTCAACATTATGAAACCCGTGAAATGCGGTAATACTTCCTACAATATTGTTTTGCTAAATTTCGGACTACACAGTCTTAGTTTGGCCATTACTAAAGAAAAACTTTTAATTTCAAAATGAAGAAACAGTAATTTACCTTTTAAGTCAACCACCTCTTCATCATCGTCATCATCACTTTGTTCCTCACAATTCCCTAGCCTGTCGCAGTCTGACAGACTATATTTGAATCGACTACCGATTGAAGATCCGACCCACTCTTCTGTTTCTTCGTCAGTTTGCGATGATTCACCATCTTGAACACCAGACTCTTCTACTTCATCTTCTGGATATTCAGGTGGTAGGAGTTTAATGTTTTGAACCTGCAGGCTTGCGTCGGCCAACATGTTAAGAACATTAATGCAATATTCACCACATCCACTTTTCAGTTTTAAAGGTGGGAACTCTACAACATATCCTAGAGTTCTGACAGCATCTAAAATAGTTGATATTGTTGCATTCGGATCGTCGTATTCTTGCGGTTGGTCAACTTTACAGTTTGTCTGTGAAATCAGCCACGCAGCTAGGGTAGTGAAACAATGAAATTGTTCACCAGGATTAGTAGGAATTGCAAAATAATGTCTTGTGATAGGTTTTTGATGTCGTCGCCTACCAATGACTTATTATTCTTAGATGTGATTACTTGCAAAATTTTTTCTCATAATTCAGTAGTTTGAGTTTTTCACTCAGACTTTCCATTTGTGCAAAAACTGCATATTGATACTTTTGTTCTTCACTATGTTCATTGCTTTTAGCTTTTTCTCGTGACATCTATGGTGGAAAAAAACAACTAGTTTATTCAATTATTGAGTTTGATATATCAAATTAAGTATCAAAATTACGTTAGTTAGATAATTACATAACCTTATTATCCCCGTAAAACTAGGATAATTTACTAAAATTGTGACTAACAGCTAACTTAGAATCAAGTAAATAAGATCTTACTAGGGACATACTATCCTCACGATAATGGTTGTAAGTAAAAGCACATTAACTCATTGTTGAAAAGTTGAAAATTAGATAGTTACATAAATGTCAATAGTGATAATCATGTGCATAATTAAATAAATTAGGGATCAAGAACTGTATAACGATT